AATTTACACAAAAATGTTATATATTATATAGATTTACTTTTTATAAAATAATCATATTCTTTAAATAAAATTTTTTATAAAAAATTCTCTATAAAATCTTTCTCTATAAAATCATTCTCTGTAAAAACATTCTCTGTGAAATCATTCTCTGTAAAATCATTCTCTATAAAATTATTCTCTTTAAAAAAATTCTCTATAAACGACATTCTCTATAATTGTTTTCTCCGTAAAAGTTTCTCTATAATTGTTATCTCAAGGGATTCGAACCAAACCCGAACCTGGAGAAGAAAACCCGGGTTTTTGAAAAAAAATCTGAACCCGAACCTGAACCCCGTTTATAAAATTTTAAAAACCCCGAACCAAACCCGGGAATTTTATATGAACCCAAGTTCAACCGGGTTCAGTGTATTTTTTAAGATATTTGTATAATTGTAAATACAAATTATAATAATTTAATTTTCAAATTTCCAATAAAGTGAAGTGTTAATATATTTTAAATAATTTAATTCATTTACGCCATTTTTAATTTTTTTCTCAGATATTCCTATTGGAGGGTTAATAAATTTTAAACGATTAAATTCATTTACGCCTATTTTTAATTATTCTCAAAATTAATTAGAGGAAAATGAAAGTGTACAAGTCAAAGTATAAATTATTATATTGGATAATGATAATTTAAAGAATTCTCCAAATCTAACTTAAAAATTGTTAAAAAAAAGATGTAGGACAGTTTTTGTAAACTTTTGCATTTTTTAACTATATTTTGCCTATAAATAAAATAAAAAATTTATTTTTTATATCAAATTTATGTCAAGCTTTTTAATTATGATTTAAATATAAATTTTTTTTTTATCAATTCAAAAATTCTTAAACCCGAGCTGAACCCGGAACAAAACCCGGGTTCAAAAATATTTCCCTGAACCGAACCCGAACCTAACCCACCTTTTTTTTTTACCTCGAACCGAACCCGGGCAAAAATTTTGTCGGGTTCACATCCCTAGTTTTCTCTGTAATGGTTTCTCTGTAATGACGGGATACCCATTTCCTTAATACGCTATCAATATTTAATTATTAAAATAATTTAGCTATTAATGATTATTTAAATTAAAAAAGATCGCCCTCGACTCAGCCTAATTTTTAGAAAACCTTACTTTTAAAATGGAAATTTGTTAATTTTTATTATTTTATGGCATAGGGGAGACTGGGGTTAGGTAAACCCCGTGGTTTGGCAAACCACTTAATCTCATTTTAAAATTAAATACACCAGAAGGTTGGAATTTTATCTTAATATAGTTTTTATTAGTTTACATCTATAGACAAAAAATCTTTTGAAATATTTAATTATTAAAAATTTTATTTTAAGATCCTTATTTTTTTATGTCCAAAATATTTATTATTAACCAAAATTATGTTTAAATATTTATATATAATTAGCTTCAATTTATAAGTATTATGTTATTTTGAACAATAAAATTATTCTATACGCATCATTATTAATAAATAAAAATGCATTTCAATTTATTATGGCCTTAAAAAATCAATGGTTTAGGAAGCCCCTTGAAGTGGTTCGCCTCACCCCGCTATTGGGGCTTTTTTCACTTTTACAAAAAATAAAATTTAAAAAAAAATATTATATTCTTAAATTTTTTTACAAAGCACCTTTATATATAGTTTTAGGTATCTAATCATATATTATTTTTTATATTATCTATAAAAAACTAGGAGCTATAGCCAATTTTGTAAAAATCGGTTCGACTAACCCCAGTCCTACTTTGGATTTTTGTGAATAAATTAAAAGGAAATGTATTAGAATACAATATTTTTAACATCTAATAAATATATGATAAATGTCATTTTTCTATCTTACCTATTATTTTATCTTCTTCAACTTGAGGCAAAAGAGCATGAAAAGGCTCAATAATGGTTAAATCTAAATCCGACTCTTCTGATACACAGGTAAATAAACTTTTGCTGCCAATAGTATCTAAAATTTGGACAAATAATTAATGGAAATGTTGTTATTTTATATCTTACCCAGACGTTATACTCTTTGATTGGACGAGTTGCACTAACATGTTCAATATATGCTAAATCTAAACAATTTTATTTAAGAAATATAAACTTTGGTAAATTTACCGCTGCTATTTTGAATCTTCTTCTTTAATATATGTATTTAGATTTTTATATTGTCTAATATCTAACATTTCATGTAGAATAAATTTAATGAAATTATAATTATAGCTTACCTAATTCTGTAGGTTCGGCAAAGAGCAGAGAATTGCCAGGAATGTGATCAATAATAGTTAAATCTAATTAATTTTATTAACAAATATTTGAGTAATTTTTTCCATTGCTATCGATCGAGTCCTCCACATCAATCTTATGAGCATATTTCTCTTTTATAGCATCTAAAATTTAGACAAATAATTAGTGGAAACATAATGTTTATATCACCAATTTCAATTATCGAAGAAGTACTATCGGATTCGGAAGATGTATGGTCTGGCAACTGATAAGGTGTATCAATCATCCACATATCTTATATTTTTAAAAATTATTCAATTTATGCATTAAAATTTATCTTTAATACCATTATTTGATGTCGAGGGTTCGTTAGAATCGAAAAAAACTAAATTTTAAAAAGAAATTAAAAATAACTAACATTATTTTTTACTATTGGCCGCCCTTGTGTTAGAGAATCCTTCATCTTTAAAATATGAAAGAGATAAAAAATAAGTAATCAATATAAAAAACAATACCATTATCAGAACATGATGTTAAATCCATTTCATTTGAAGTAGAGATTATTTCTTGGTTATCGTTACAAGCGTAAAATACCTCGTAAGGTGTGCTTTTAATGATTCTACTATAATTGTTATTTATTTTAGAAACAATTTTGTGAAGCTGGTGGGCCCAGTCAGTTTTTTTAGTTTCCAGCATATACGCAGATATGCGCGTTTCCAAGGTAGAATTTTCTCTTTCGATGAGCCTGTTTGTCTCAGGGTGCCTAGGCCTGGAATGAATAATCATTATGGATGGAAACTCCGTATTTATCATCTCTGCAAATAAGTTATCTAAGAATAATAATTAATTAGATATTTATAAATAATAAATTACTCTTAAATTCTCTATCATTGTCACTCTGCAAAATTTTTGGAGGCCCAAATTGATAAAATAAGTTTCTTAAAATATTAACAATTCCTTCCGCTTTTTTTGACGGCAGAGCACTAGCGCGTGTAAACTTGCTCAAATGATCTTTAAGGTGGAATATATATTTATAGATACCATCTGGTGTAGATGACATATCAATTAAATCTATTTCCACCCGCCCCCAGACGGAATGGCTTACTAAAGGTTTTCCAACTGGCGCCTTTGGAAGATTTTTTTTATAGAGCAGATTGGACAATTTTGGATATATTTTATAAAGAATTTTTGAGGAATTGAAGCAAATACGGATTCTATATTTTTAATTGTTGTGTTGACACCGGGATGATTATTGTCATTATGGTGGACCTTTAATATTTGAATATTGGATATGATAATAATGGGTTTTTTTATTTTTTTACAAAATAAAGACTCATTTTCTAAATAAAAATAAGAAAAAACTTTAAATTTTAATTTTGCCGGTATATTTAGAATAGATTTATATTTTGGAGTTTTTAATATCGTTTTAAAAATATTATAATCATTATCAGTTTTAGGTAAAAAAAATTTTAGGCATTAAAAAAAATTTTAAACTAAAATTATATATAATTATTTTATTTTTAGAAAAATGAAAATAAATTTGAAAATGTAAAAAATAAAAGAATAAAATATCTGAAATATATAAAATAAAAGTTATTTAATTATAAATCAATCAAATTTTTAAAAATTTTGGAAATTTTTCTTTAGTATTAACTTGTTAAGGCCAAAATTTATATTTATACAATTTCATGAAAATAATAAATAAAAAAAAAAGACATAAAATATATAATTTTGATTTGGAGTCACTTTATCACGCGACACTTTATCACGCGACACTTTATCACGACGACACTTTATCACGACGACACTTTATCACGACGACACTTTATCACGACGACACTTTATCACGACGACACTTTATCACGACGACACTTTATCATGACGATACTTTATCACGACGACACTTTATCACGACGACACTTTATCACGACGACACTTTATCACGACGACACTTTATCACTCAGTCATTTGATAATGCGACACTTTATCACACGACATTTTATCATGATATACTTAAAACTTAATTTAATATAATTGAAAAGTTAAATTTTAATAATATCTCATTTTTTGACTTTCATCATGATATACTTAAAACTTAATTTTATATATTTGAAAAAATTAAATTTTGATAATATCTCATTTTTTGACTTTTCCGTCTAAATTCCAATATTTAAAAAATTTTAATTAATTTTTTATGTTAACGCGACACTTTATCATGCATGATATACTTAAAACTTAATTTAATATATTTGAAAAAATAAAATTTTGATAATATCTCATTTTTTGACTTTTCCTTCTAAATTTCAATATTTAAAAAATTTAAATTAATTTTATTTTGTTAACGCCACACTTTATCATGATATACTTAAAACTTAATTTAATATATTTGAAAAAATTAAATTTTGATAATATCTCATTTTTTGACTTTTCCGTCTAAATTCCAATATTTAAAAAATTTAAATTAATTTTTTATGTTAATGCGACACTTTATTATGATATACTTAAAACTTAATTTAATATATTTGAAAAATAAAATTTTGATAATATCTCATTTTTTGACTTTTCCGTCTAAATTTCAATATTTAAAAAATTTAAATTAATTTTTTTTATTGAGAAAAACTCATATTTTAATTTACATAAATATAATTTTTTTTAACTTAATTATCATCTTATATAGGGAAACAGGAGACAAACAATAATTTTCTATTTATACTTTTTATTAATAAGTAACTATAAATCAATATATCACGAGTAAAAAATATAAATTATTTATAATATATTTAATTGCACGAAATATGGGCAATAGCTTTTAAAAATATTAAAGAATCCGACAATCCGTAATTTGAAACACAAATCTGAATTCGTCTTTTTATATCTTCATATTTCTTTGATAAGTACGGTGTTGTGTTCGGGCGACACCTTCTAACGTGGAATTGTGTTTATTCCATAGTCTTACATTATATAAAGGCGCTGCAAAGTTATTTCGTTGCCCTATAAAAATATAAATTTATAATAAAAAAAATATATTTTTACTGGGATTTCTACGTCCTCGGATATAGGTCTTCTCAAAGTAGGAAATTAGCTCAGATGAGCCATTCAATTCACCAAATATTTCTGCCAAAGTATCAAATGAGTTTCCAACATCATCCTCTGGGACATATGCAAGAGCCGATAAACACCTACTATATAATCGAAAGTCGTCATTCGACTCATACATCTCTTTTAATCCCAAATCGTTTATTTTTCTATTAACGCTCTGTTTTAGATGAAAATAACATCCAAGGATATCTGCGAGTGGATACCCAGCTCTAAACGCATTTATCGGTGCCTGTTCGAAATCCACCAATATTTTCCTCGGATGCGCCCCTGGTAGTAATTGTTTCAGCTCCTATAATAAAATTTAAATTACATCTCTTAAAATATATAATATGATTACTTTTATCATCCTTGCATATGTATGCGCCGTTTTATTTGGTAATAAGCAATATATACCAACAGGATTCGCGCGGTGCAATTTGAAAGTGGATGGTATAAAGTTGGAAGAATATTTCAGGTACAATTTTAAAGGTACCATCACATATCCATATATCCGATCTTGATAATCCTTCGAGTAGTTCGACCGGGCTCAACATTATAAATCTTAAATTACCATCTGGCCCAGAATCGTATTTGAGAATATCCCTGTAACATTCCGGATATAAGAAAGTGAGATCCTTAGGGATAGGAGGCAATATAATGGTAGAGATCGATTTTTTATGCCTTTGTAAGGATCGATAAAGGGCAGACTTATTTGGCATAACCATCAAGGTATTATTATCATAATTTAACAATGTTGTTGCATGGACCAAAGAAGGACTAGAATATTCACTTAATTTGGATTTCATTTCTGATATTGCTTTTCGGGCATAAGAATTTGAAATGTTACCCTCATGAGTATGATCAAGGGGACCTTTTAAGATATCATTCAATTTTGTTGTAATAAAAGAATGGCATTTTAGAGATTTATATTTGGCGCATCTCCAGCATATTGTTTCATTTTTATTTGTCCTAAATTTAGTATATTCGTAATTTTGATATAAAAGGGTAGGTTTATTTTTCGATGTAAATCCTAATTCAAACATTATAATTAATAAAAAAAATATTCTTTAATATATAATAATATAGAAAATTGAGGTATATATAGAAAAAAAAATATTATTATATTTATGTGTAAATACAAAACCTTAATTTGTAAAAATTATAAATCTTTGTGAAAAAACGACTAGCTTAAAAAATATCAATAGATAAAAGCATTAATTTAAGTGTGGTGTTTTATTGATTTATAGTTACTTATTAATAAAAAGTATAAATAGAAAATTATTGCTTATGTCTCCTGTTTCCCTATATAAGATGATAATTAAGTTTAAAAAAATTATATTTATGTAAATTAAAATATGAGCTTTTCTCAATAAAAAAAATACAAAAAAAAATAATTTAAATTTTTTAAATATTGAAATTTAGACGGAAAAGTCAAAAAATGAGATATTATCAAAATTTTATTTTTTCAAATATATTAAATTAAGTTTTTAGTATATCATGATAAAGTGTCGCGTTAACATAAAAAATTAATTTAAATTTTTTAAATATTGGAATTTAGACGGAAAAGTCAAAAAATAAGATATTATCAAAATTTAACTTTTCAAATATATAAAATTAAGTTTTAAGTATATCATGATGAAAGTCAAAAAATGAGATATTATCAAAATTTAACTTTACAAATATATAAAATTAAGTTTTAAGTATATCATGATGAAAGTCAAAAAATGAGATATTATCAAAATTTAACTTTTCAATTATAATAAATTAAGTTTTAAGTATATCATGATAAAATGTCGCGTGATAAAGTGTCGCGTTATCAAATGACTGAGTGATAAAGTGTCATCGTGATAAAGTGTCGTCATGATAAAGTTTCGTGTGATAAAATGTCGCTAGGCGATAATTTTTAGCTAACTATGAATATGTATTTTTTTTTATAAAAAAAGGGGGGGGGGATTTTAAAATTCTTTCCTTTTCTATTATATCTTTTCAATTTTATAATTAATCTTTTAAAAATGTTTAAGAGTGAGAAAGTACAGATTTAAACGACCATTTTTTAGTCAAACTTTAGAGTTAACATTTTAAAGCGAAAATAATCAACGTAGAGTTGTTAACATTTTTCTTTCATTTTCCTTCAATTTTAACTATAATCTATGTCTTCTGGTGGTTTGAATCATGAGAGGGTGGGGGTAAACATTTTTCCAAAAAAATATCTAGACAAAGGTATTAAATCCTCTCCATCTTTCCCGATGTCGAAATCTTCAATCGATTTCTGTTTTCCTAAGAATATCCCAAATCGACATATTTCTTTCTAAAGAAAAAGTATAACTAGTAATTATTAGTCTTAATGGGCATGGTGGGCAAAGTTTATTCCACTAACTTTAGGTGGGAATTGATTGTTTCTTATAGAAATTACTGCTTTCCACATAAATAACTATTAAACATGCCGTTTATACTTTTGAAAATTTTATCACTTAAAATACTTTGGAATACTCCTCCGGTCAATTGACCGAATTGCCAACCCTGATAAAAAGTATTCAAAAATCATCTTCAAAACCTAGTTTATGGTGTACATCCTATCTGTTTTTAATTAATTTTAGACGATTTAAAAAGTTTGGAAATTTGTTTTTGTAAGGGCTATGTGTGGAATAACTGTAAGCAGAAGCTAATCTGATCATATAAAACTTAGATTGTATATCCATAAAAAATAAGTGTTATAAAAATAGACTTAGCAAATTTTTCAAAATATAGAATTTTAAAAAATATCAGGGTTTATCAAGTGATTGATTTTATATAAACTTACAAAAACAAAAATGTCAATCTTGCTTTAATTTGAATCCCTTATTTAGCCTTTTAATTATATCCTTTTTGAAAATTATATTATTTAGTTTATGAATAGAGTACTAAGTTTATTTTTAATTAGATTTGCTTAGCCCATTAGGGAGATCCGGAATATTTAAAAAAATATAATTTAATAATTTTTAAAAACGATGAAAAAAAATGAATAGAGTTTAAGTTTATTTATATTATATAAAAAAAATAGCTAGATTTTAAAAAAAATTGGTGTTGTTTTTTTTCGTTTTTTCAATTTTTTTTTGTTGTTTTTTTGAATATTTTTTTTCAAAAATTTTAGGAAAGTAATAAGAAAGAAAGAAAAATTAAAATATGGGTTATTGCTTAAGTCGGGTATATTCAATGACATTAATACTATAGACTGCCGATCGTAATGCTAAAATCAAATTTAGAGTGGCAAAAATTGAATTGAGTAGCAGCCATTTTGTGTTTGGAGCTTATACGTAAAAAACATATGATAATTTCATAAATTTTAGGTTTATTTTTATTATATATTATATTTATAATCTTATTTTTTTTACTAGATGAATAAAAAACATTTTTAGAGCATTTATGGTTATACTGTTTGGATTATTGCCTAATGTAATCAAAAATTAGATTTTAGGCAAAAATTTAACAGATCTGTACTTTTTCAAGGGCATAAATCAAGTATTATAAAAATATGTTATTTAACTTAAATATTTATAGGTCAAGGAAAAATTATGGTGATTATTTGTAAGAAAAAAACTACACTTTATACCATATACTTTTAGTTATAATAATACATTTATTTTATTAGAAGTAAATATAACATATATATATTATTTGTATTTATTATTGTAAAAATTTATAAGATTATTTTATTTTTCACAATATACATATTCATTATTGATTTTTGTACTTTAGTGAATTAAATTTAAATAAATATATAAAAAGCCTTATAAATTATAACCTCTTTTTATTTGCTAAAAAAAATAATACAAAAGAAATTATATCAAATTTGTTTTTTATATAATTCAAAATATTTATTAATAAAATCATATATATTCTGTTTTTGGAGTAATTTCTAAAATTCCAAATCACATGTTAAATATTTTCATAGCAAATCTGGCATAATAATTTTTACAAGAAAAAATACGTTATTAATATAAGCTGCATCTTTAGATTTAATTCTGAATATTTAATTTGAGATATCATACTTATGAAAGGAAATTTAGCTTCCTGAACAATATTTTTGGTTACAGCCATATGCACTACAATATCTTATCATTTTCTTAAAATATAAAAAATATATTAAATTTTATAATAAATTTTAAATCATAATATATCTTTCCTCACTTTGATTTTTGTTATTGAATTTATAAATATAAAATATTAAATTAATTCTTATAAAAAATATTCATTCTAACTTGATAAGATATATATTTGAAAAATCTTAAAGATATTCATGAGGTATTAAAGAAAACAATAAGATCCTTACTTCTCTAGAAATGACAAAATTTTAAACTATATTCTTATTACTATGCAGATTTTATTTTATATTGATTAGTCTATATAAAATATTAAAGATATTCATTAAGTAATAAACTGCTAATGTTTATAAAATATTTTTTATTCATCTAGTAAAAAAATAAGATTTTATATATAATATATAATAAAAATAAACCTGAAATTTATGAAATTATCATGTTTCTTACATAAAAGATCCAAACACAATATGGCCGCTACTCAATTCAATTTTTGCCACTTCAAATACATTAATCGGCAGTCTATATTATTAATGTCATTGGGTATATTATTTTTTTTGTTATTTTTTTATGTTATTTTTTTTATGTTTTTTTTTAATGTTTTTTTTTATGTTATTTTAAATTAATATAGTATTATTTGGTGATAATTTTTTAAAATAAAGAAGCATATTTTTATTATATCGAAATATAGTATTAAATGAGTCAATTTTATTCATTAAATTGAAATATAGTCTTAAAATCTAAGCAATTTTAGGAAAATTAGCATAAAATCTTAAATTTTGTATTTATTAGGTGTAAAATAGACCCCATCTTTAAAGTTTAAGTGATTTTTTTAACCTTTGTTGGGAAGGGTTAATTCGAAATAAATTGAAATATATTATTGAAATTTATACAAAATAAAAATATCGAAATATAGTAATAAACGAGTCAATTTTATTCATTAAATTGAAATATTGTATTAAAATGTATACAGATGATTATTAAATTCATAAGAAATTCTCCAAATATTAAAATAAAAAATTTTAGGAAAGTAATGAAAGAAAGATCACTTAAAGTAATAAGAAAGAAAGAAAAGAAAGATTTTATCAAATTCTTAAGAAATTCTCCAAATATTAAAATTTTTATATAAAGCTAAAATATTTAATAAAAAATATAATAAAAATATTCCAAAAAAAACGTGGGGATTCAAGATCTCGAATCCCCAATTTGGGATTCCGAATCCCAGGAGATTCCATATCCCAATACGACATATGTATAACTAATTAATTATGTAAATCAAATTGAAATTGTTGTAATATGTAAATAAATTTTGGATTCGTTAAATTTGTACTTTATATTTAATTTGCATAAAGAGTTCTTTTGGATTTATTATTATAACCCGTGATAAAAATATTATATTTAAATAGTGAGAACTGAAAATAATTTAAGTTATGAATATTAGTTATAAAGAAGATGGAAAAGAGTATAAAAACTCCAATTTTTACCATTCGCGAGCATCTTTTATAATTATTAACTTTTTTGTATTTTATTTTTATTAATCTTTTTTATTATTTTTACTTTTCTAATTTTGTTAATTTGATAATGTTATAATTTTGAATAAAGAATTAAATTGATTTCATGATTTCGTGATTCCTAATTATTATTAATTTCTTTTTTTATATATATATTTGTTTTCTATTTTTA